CGACGGCTTCGCGCCAGCGAGATCTGGAAATGGGCGGTGAGACGCAAGAGCAGCGACAACCGACTCAACGGCCTGGGTAAGGGCAACCTGCGAAGAGATCTGGAAAATCCACGTTTTTTGTATTTTTCCAAATTGTTCTTATGTTGGCATTTTCAGATCCGTTATGACTAAATTTTTTGTATTTTGGATGAATTTTTGGATATTTTGGGAGGAATGTAACTTGATTTTGCTCAAAACTCTCAACGAGAGCATCGTTGATGGATTATTGGGATCCAAACATACTACCTCCGTCCCGGTGGACTTTGCCAAGTGTAAAGTAAGTGAGAAATAAGAATAGTAAAAACTGTGTGGTTAAGATTTGTGCAGAGGAGAGAAATGTGCATAACTACAAATTAGTTGCTTTAATAAGAAAGTGATAAAGTTTTTTGGGACAACCAAAAAAGGAAAGTTGGCAAAGTCCAATGGAACGGAAGAAGTATATAATTAGGGAGAGATTTGAGCTATGAAAGTGGAGAACAAGAAACTAAGAAAGTGTATTGTGTGAATGAGTTGTGTCCTATGAAATTGTGTTCTAGGTTTACAAGAAGCTCCAAGAGGAGTATAAATAGAGAACTAACGGACTGAGCCGCTAAATGGGCCTGATAGACCAAACTATGCAAATGGATAATCTAATGGATACAAATAATATAAAACTGTACAATAATGTAAACCCTCGTGCTCCGCGTGCCATCAAATTGGCCATGCGCACCAATTTTTTGACCAAGTTGGTCAATTATGTCCTTAAACGGATTCACCCTACGACACTAGATGCTACGCGCACCTCCTATTCTCCTAGCCTAAGTCAAACACAACCGTTTTTTTTGACCATGTTGCTTTCTAAATCACTAAAAGATTTACGCAGTAGTTTCCAAAATTCAATTAAAAACATCCTTATTTGTATTAAATAACTAAAACTAATGTCACCCAATAATTAATTTATGTCAAACTAATAAGTACACTTCAAATTGTCTTTTTTATAAATGTTTTGTTTTTTACTTTGCGCAATTTTATACTTTGTATTATATTTTTTTGGAAGTTTTATATTAGATTATATAATTTAATAAGTACTCCCTCCGTCCCGTTGGAATGTTCTCGGTTTGACCTACACACATATTAAGGAAACAAACTTACCAGAGGGTAAATTTTACTGTTTTGACATTGTTTCAACACTATTTGACACTGTTTCGACACTGTTTGACATTGTTTTGCACTGTTTGACCCTGTTTTGATGTATGATAACTTTCCATTTAGGGAAATGGGAACTTTCTAACGGGACATCCAAAAAAGGAAAGCGGGAGCATTCCAACGGGACGGAGGGAGTAACATTTTTAACTCTACTAAACTAATTATCTTCATTTTTTTATTTGCTTGACTAATTTCAAACGTGGAGGCCTCGCCTTTTAAAAGTCCATCAGCATCATGGTGATTTCACATTACGGTCACATATGTTACATGACTAGATTTATGGTGTGAATGGTATTTAGGATGTTTTTAATTGAACTGATTTTGAACGAGATAGATTCAAACAAATAGAATTAGATCTGACTACACTAGATTTAAATAATACTATCGTAGTAAATATACATTTATCGGTCTTTCACGAAATTGACCAGATTTTTTTTTAAAAAAATTACATATATGATATGGGTGTCATATGAAAGATCATAAAAAGTTATTTAATTTGGTATAATTTTTATAAAAATTGGAGCAAAAATGAAAAAATTATGACATTTTATATAAAAATAAATTTTACTTGCCACATAACAGCAATTGATTGGATGTATATTTAATGCAAAAATGATATGGCCAAGGGAGAAGGGAGCCTACCGTGGAGTGGAGGGTGCGCCAAGTAATTTTAATTAATTTTTTAATTAGACTTAATTTTTATTAATAATTAAGAAGGCCAAATTTGTCCATCCATGATTACATTAAGCAATTTTGGGGTGCATGTTATCCAGTAAACGTGTGTGGACCGCTGTTCACGCCCAATAGTCGTGAGACTCGGGAATCCGAATTTATATACTCTATCAAATGTATTATAGTTTTTTTTATTTGTACTCTTTTTTTTCAAAAAAATAATAATCAAAATTCATATATTTTTTTTAATTTTACATATACAAAGTTAAAAAAAGAAAGAATGACATGGATATTACTTGTCATCTTGTATTGTACAAAAATATGACCACTTGAAAAAGACAGAAAAGTGACATTTTAACCTCTCGCCCTTTCGCTTTCGAACGCCTCTCTTCCGTCTTCATTGCAATACTCTTGCTCTCACAACTTGCAGATGGCAAAGCTATCTCAGCCAAAAAATGGAAACTCTCGCCCTGTTAGTGACATCTGCTTCGCTTGTAACTTCGTCACAATCGAGTATCGCGGCAGGATCTTGCACCTCCGCCATCAGCTTCGTCAAGCTCCTCTCTTGTCTTCACTAACTGCGCCTCCGGTTGACGACGGCTCTGAACCGAAGCCTCCGGTTCCAAATCCACATTTCTCAATGGGCGACGTTTCTGATTTAGGGCCGCCAGTGCCGGATCCCCCATCCCCCATGGACGATGACTCCGATTTGGGGCGGCGCTGCAGGTGGGGTGCGACAAGGGGTTGTGGTGGTGCGGTGGTGTTATGGCTAGGGTTTTGGGCGATCTGGCCAGAGAATAGCCAGAGGGAGGGCCGAAGGACAAGGGGCGGGGGAGCAAGGGCTGGGGGCTAGGGAACTAGGAGTGGGCCTAAGGGTCGATCGGGGGCTGGGTTGAGTTTGGTTAGATCTGGAGTTGGGGAGGGTAGATGGGGCCAAGGCAGGGAGCTGAGGTTGTGGGATGAGGAGGTGGGCGGTGGTGGACTGGTTGTGGTGAAGGGATGTGCAGACGTGCACTTGCAAGGGATGGTTGTGATGGTGGGATGTTGTTTTTCATGGATGGGATGTTGGGGCAGCGATTTTGCAGTGGCTGAGCATCGGGGAAGGTCTATGTTGAGGTAACCCCGTGGTGGCCGGTGGCCGGAGGCGGTGATGGTCAGTGACATTACCGGTGACCGGCGGCCGGAGGCGGTGATGGTCAGTGACATTACCGGCAGGACGGTAGTTTCACGGCAATAGTGACATCCCATGATAGGCGATGTAACTATGACAATGTCATTGTGAATGGCGGTGGCGGCAGTGATATGGGCAGTGACACAGTGACACGTTTTACGACGAAAGTGGCATGAAAACCGGCAGTGCCATTTAAAAGTGACATGAAAATCGACAGTGACATAAAAATCTTACAGTGACATAAAAAATCAGAGAGACTATGTTTTTCTACATATATGACATTTTGGTCACATTTTGTCTTTTTATAAGTGGTCACATTTTTAGGAATTGACTCTAAATACCAGTGGGCGTAGCTCAACTGGTAGCAAGAGAGTGCCACAAGGGTTAGGTTCCGGGTTCGAATCCCGGTAACTGCGATGAGAGGTTACTATGCTAAAAAATGCACAGGGCCTCTGCAAGTATCGTGAATAGAGTCACACTCTTTATCTGTCAGATTAAGATTATAGTCCAACTTACATTCTTCCAGCGTTATGTCCGATCGTGGTTGGGGGCCTCACAGGGATGGGGTGTCATTCTTTTTTTGGGAATTGGCTCTAAATTAGTAATATTCAACTAAAAAACCTTTAAAAATCTGAAGTCTTAATTCTAAATAAACACGAAACATAAATTTTTAATCTATGGTATTCATAAATAACCAAACTTTTACATGAAATCATTTTATTCTTCATTAAAGCTGAAAGATGTAACAAAGAAATAATGAATTTTTTATTTTTTAACATGGATATGCGGTTTTTTAAATTTAATCATTATTCACACAATAATTTAATTAATGTTTTAATAAACCGATGCCTAAAAGAATATGGTCAGTATATTTTATTGGCGATGCTCAGATATAGAGAAAAATAATATTGACGGAGTTTATACATTGTTTTTAAATTTTTAAATAAATATAGAGTTTGCTTGGTGACCATGTTTTTCATTTTGTCAACTAACTTTTTCACTAAACACGTAACTTTTGATTTCACGTGCAGAATTATGTAATAATAAGAAGAAGTAAGCCTGAGATTACTTTTCTGACTGTATTGATTGAAGTTACTTGATCATTTTAGCTATCTTTCATATAAATGTTCTTTACTTTATCAATAAAAACATTTTAAATATAATTATTTTCGTGAATCATCACAATCAGCGGAGTCAGCTGATTCAACCAATTTTAGTATCACAAAACGAGCTCATAATGTTTGCTATATACTCCTTGCGTCCCACTATATTTGTCCTATTTTTTTTGCCGTTGTCTCACTAAATTTTTCTCATATCATATTTGGTAATATTTGTGTGACACTAATTCATTTTTACTTTATTCTCGCTTTATCAATTAATTATCAATCACATAACTTTATCCTTTTAAAAAATGCATCACTCTCCTTTGTCCCAATCTTAGGAGTGACAATTTTCCAATTATTAATACTCCCTTGTAGTACTCACTCTTTCATTTAAAATTTTGCCAATTTTCTTTTTTGGGTAGTATCATTAACCTTTGTTATTTTTCATTTTTAGTAAATAATTTGTGGTTTCAATTAATTTTCTCTCGCATAAATTTCTATACTCCATCCGTTCCTAAATAAACTTCAAACTTTCCTTTTTCATCTGTTCTAATGAAAACTTTCACTTTCCCTTTTTAGTAAAGAATTTATGATTCACAACATTTCTTACACATTTCTCTCTCCTCTGCACAACTATACACCACACAATACCCACTATCTTAAACTGTGTGCAAAACATATTTGGAAGTTTTAATAGGAACGAGGTAGTACATTTTTATTCAATTATTACTGTATAGTCCGTATAATTTTGCTAAAGATGGAGTACATATTTATACTTTTTGGCGTTTTGCGGCTCTCGTCTAGTGTAACACAGGAGTCCAGGGTGTACACTCTACAGTGCATCTCTGAAGCATGGGCCATAGATAAATGTGATCCTCCATGCATTGATTTCCTGTTCTCTACTCATGTACTTGTCTGAAGCAAAGAGAGAAATCAATAATGGAATCTCTGCTTGTGAAAACTTCAGCTTCCATCTCTTTTTCGCTCAAGCCTCAGTTATCTTTGTTTAGGACAGGTACGTATACTGCCAGAACTCCACTTTCGCTCTTTTCTCCCCCTTTGTACATTGACATTCTTAGATTCACAATGTACGATCTCTGGAGGGTGTTTCTCTTCCTGACATGCTTCTATCAATTGCCAATGTTAGAAGTCATCATTGTTTATCCAATCTTGTTGGTTTGCTAAATAATTTTTTATTTTTTGTTTAATATTTTTATTGCTACCAATTTGGGGGTTTCAAGAATTTATAAAATCAAAACACTGTAAGATTGTTTTTGTTTAGTATACAATTGTTTTCCAAACATAACTGTGAAGGTTGAAATTTATACATTTTCTCTGAGAGTATTTGTTAATGTTTGAGTTTTTTTATCATCACATTTGGAACAATCACTGAATTACATCATTATATCTGCGTAATTGCAAAGAAATTAACTTTATAAATATGCTCATAATGAACTAGAGCAACATATAAAATGTCCCATCACACTTTTGGGTGAATGGTGGCTTATGGGTTACTTTAGTGGGGCTATTTAAGGAAGATACAAGTCTTGGAACAAAACTTTCGCGGATCAGCTGGAGTGGAATTTTTTAGCGTTTGGGTTGATTAAAAACGTGTGACTAAAGAAAAAGTGTTGTGAATAATAATAACATAAATATTTCAATTTTGGTGGAAAGCAAATAGGGTGATAGTAATTTTTTCCAAAAACAACTACCTTTTCAGCTGTCATACAAAGACAGGTACAGGGGATGAGAGATATATTCATTTCTGGTTGTTGTGGCTTTTTGTTTTCCTAGCAAGTATTGGGGGTTTGGCCTTTCAGACCTGCTTAGTCATTTTTAAGTGATGAATGGGATATTTGTTAGTGGAATGAGACTTGAACCCAGACCTTTTTAACCAATTCACCATCATTAGAACATTGGGGTATTAGGGTTTGGCCATAAATTAAAGAAAATCAGATCTTGTTTTTATGCTGCGAATAATATATTTGCCGAATATCCTTTGGCGTAACTTTGCACTTACATTTTAGTTTATGTTCTCAGTATTTCTGTATTTACATGCTATTTTTTCACTTGCAATTGTTGCAAAGTTGCAATGCTTATAAGTAACTATGTCATAATTGGTAATCATAGATTCATATCAAGCACCGCAAGTTTCGAAGAGCAAAACATGGAATGGTGGAGAAAAGCACTCCTCAAAGCGTATGCAATTACAAAGAGTATCAGCTACTGAACATCATCTAGGAAGCAGTGCCAGAAGTATTTTTAGGTTAAATTCGAGATTTAAAGCACGTAATTTGGTGAATGCGGCTTCAGAGCTTCCTATTGAATCCGAGTCATCCAACAGCCCTTTAAAGTCATTTCAAGGCGCAGTAGATGCTTTCTACAGATTTTCAAGGCCTCATACAGTCATAGGAACAGTTATGTTCATAACTTTTGAGTAATTGAGAGGATTCTAGACAGTTCTTTTGACTCATTCATACTCGGTCATATTATCCTGTTGTATGTCAACCTCTTCCTTTTTCAATGGTTGACATTTCTAAGCTGATTCTTGTATAAAATGACAAGTGTTAAAAACAACTCAATCACAATTCACAAACACATTACACATCCTTATGTTTATTGGGTATTAAAAAGAAGATATATATATATACCAACTCCGTCCTACAAATATGAATTTTTCTTTCACAATTTTATGCGGCATTCACTTATTGATTGATAATTTTACATCATCCAATAAGTGAATGTCACATGCGAATGTACACAAAAAATGCAGGGAAAAAATGTTTACCTAGTCTTACAGTCTTACTCTTGTTCACATCATCATCTTAGTTGCCAATATTAGATCTTAACAAAAGACCTATCTTAAGAAGGTCTCAAATAACTTTATACTATGACTTGTTCATTGTGCAATGAAACATCCCTTGATGCCTACACTATAGTATTCTTAATCATATTAATATCCAATATAAATTTAAAAGCCATTATGTTTTGTTCACTTCGTTAGTTTTGGATGATACACATGGAGTCTTGCTTGATTAGTTGATCTAAATTTACCCAGTACTGACTTACACATTCCTTTTTCTGTGAGCAGGCACTGAGCATAGTTTCAGTTTCTCTTCTTGCAGCCGAGAACCTCTCAGATATTTCACCATTATTTTTCACTGGGGTGCTTAAGGTCAGTTTCAAGTGTTTGCTGAGTCGGTAGAGTGTATACTTAGTTTTACAAATTGTGTGTTCGACTATATTAATGCAGGCCATTGTTGCTGCTCTCTTCATGAATATATACATAGTTGGTTTGAACCAGTTGTCTGATATCGATATAGACAAGGTATGACAATTATCAACTCAATTTCAGCACCCTCATGGCCTTGTGTATAAACACTAACAATGGCTTTGTATTTAAATTCTTGTTTATGTTGATATTTGGTTGGTTTTTAGGAGTTATGCCACTAAACTACTTTATACTTAGTGGATGATTAAGGAAGTTGGTAAGACCATGACGTTTGCCACTTCATTTACTGACTACTGTGCATGGTTTTGTGTGGGGAAGGGGAGGGAGAATACTTCCTCATGCCCTATGGCATATAAGAAGAGAGATGCATGGCATAAAAGCCTCAACACAAGTTAATTGATTAGGGCCTTAGGGATTCTGTGATTTTTATTGCATCTTTAAGGGTACAATAGAATCATAGTCTAACTATATTTGGAATCCCTATCCAACCACAGGACTAATATCTAATTGGGCTAAATCTCATATGAAGAAACTAAACATGAAATAAAATAGAAGTCTGGCTTATTGAGTCATGCCAGGTCTTCTTTTGCTGTTAAGGAACTGGCGCACCCATATAATATCTCCCCTCATTGACCATGAACTTGTCCTCAAGCTCAAATGTTGGGAAATTAATTCAATAAATGTCCACGATAAATTGCACGTCGCCCCAATGATTTTTGGTTACAGATTATTGAATCTGCGATATGTGCTCAAAGTTACGTTAGCCTCTAGAAAATGCAGGGTATCATTTTCCATCCAAACGGTCTTCCAAATCATTGCAAGTTGATTCAATTCAGATGGCGTCCCCTGTAAGGTGATGCTGTTGGTGTCACTGGATATATCATTGGACTATTGGAGAGGAGATCGTTTTGTAAGATTGCTGCTCCTAAGCATTCGTCAAACTGGTTTAGAGCGACACCACTGTGCTTTGGTAATGCTATTTAGTTAATAGTGGTGTGGTTGTGAAGCACACTGCCAGGTCTGCACATCACATTGATTCTCTGGACCAGCCTGTTGGTCTATGAGTCTATCATCTTTTCCTCCAAGAGTCTTTGTCGATGTGTCATCTGATCCAAAAGTTGTTTCAGTGATGCTGCTTGCATGGTGCTATTGTCTGCCAAGCTGTCATCATACCAAAACTGTGTACCTAGTTCGTAAGGCCATGAGTGCAGGATATATTAGTCTTAGTCATTGTCGAGTCTTGCTGGAGTTCTATTCCTTCATTATTAAAGAACTGCCACACTGATATCAGATATTTTTCATCAATATTGTTTCTTTTTCATCTTTTACCTTATATAATTATGCTTAGGTTTAAAGAAATATAAGTAGCTGAGTTTATGTACAGATATGTACAAAATTTATGTCGATGAAGTGCATCATTATTCCTGGATATATGATATTAAAACTCAAATGACTTGAGATGAGATTATATCTTAGCAATGCATTATTGTGATTTTAAAACTGTTTTTAATAAGTTCTTTTAAAAAAGCGGCATGAATAATCATTGACATTGGACTTGCTGAGGTTTTTAATAACGTGGAACTTTAGGTGCCATCGTATAGCCGTATAGGTCAATCATGTAGACAACTATTCATTTGTCAGGAGTCTCTAACAACTCTGACAGAATTTCTCAAGGGAGCAGCAGCCAAGGTTCTTTAGTTGTATGCTAGCTTTGACCTTGAATAGCTGCCTTTAATATATAACAGTATGAACACTTTTATTGTGTAATCTAATTTTACCGTGAGATTTCATCTAATTCAATTGTTCTTTATTGATCAATTTAACTTTTAATTACTATGCATTCCAAGTCTGAAGCTGTTTTTTTCAGGTAAACAAACCATATCTTCCATTAGCATCAGGCGAATATTCCGTGAAAACCGGCGTACTAATTATTTCGTCTTTTGCTGTTATGGTAATATTATCTTTTTATATATAACAAGTTATTTATTTGTTTAACGCTTGTAGTTAATTCAGATGTTTGATGCTAGTGCTGTTATGTTCTAACCTAGACTTAAGCCTCACTAAAACTCCTTTTTCAAGATTCTGTGGATTAATCATGCTATATTGTCAAAATCTTGCATTTTAGGTCTCTCTCATCTCAAACTCAAATTCCTTAAGAGAATAGTATTTGGAATTAATTCATTGCTTCTGCAGAGTTTTTTGCTTGGAAGTGTTGTTGGTTCATGGCCGTTATTTTGGGCTCTTTTTATCAGTTTTGGACTTGGAACTGCCTATTCAATCAATGTGAGTTAAGCTTCAGTTTAACACACACATACGCATATATCTATGGTCCACACATTGTTTTTGTATGTCCTCTGCTAGTATGTAACTCGACAATGCCTTAGGTAATCAATTTTGTAAACCAAACTGTTGAGACAAAGAAAATAAGAGAAGTGGGGAATTTATATATACGCATATGACAGTTTAGTCCCTATATATGCACATTGCAAAGATATTTACCAAAATATAAGATTGAAAATTGAATTCATGTCGGGAATATTTCGATGGCAGTCACTGAGGCACCAACCTCCTCCACTGACTTTGAAATAAAGCATTCAATCAGGGATTTGAGAAAGGAGCTTCCTTTATTTTGTTGTCTCCTTCCCAATGTCAACATACAAGTGTTCATCAATAGAGGATTAAGTTTTCTTAATTGTGTCCTCTTCTTGCTTTGGACCTAGCTCACTAGACATTGCAAGCTTCCTAGCAGTAGGTCCTCCAACACAAGGGACCATCAGCCGCATATTGTATCTCTTTGTTCTCAAGGTAGTATCCATCTAGTTTCTTCATCAAGCCAATGAAAATTTGATACTTGCTTGAACATTTCACTTTCCTTTTCTGATGGTGCCCTTTCTTCTTGAACATAAGGTAAGTTTTGAATTGCTACAGTTTTCTCAGCCGAATCTTCTGATCCAGAGTTATTGAGGTAGTAACCAGTAGTCCATCCAAAGTTGAAACCCCTTGACGTTGTTGATCATGAACCCTTTCTGTTGTGTAACAGAAAAATAAAATCAACGGGGTAAACCGTTGACCAGATAATCAACGATAAAAATACCGTTGCCCAGAGCCAAAAGGCTAAAACCAATTTTATTCCAAGATAATAAGAATAAACCCTGGCGAGGGGTATAAATAGCCTTCTACAAGAAACCCTAATCAAGCCCAAATTAATTAAATCCTAATTAGGCCCATACTAACTCTACTAAGTACTCTACTAATAAAAGGCCCAAACCAAAACATAACATTAACTTAATAATAATAAATAAACTATAAAGACAGCCCTAACCCGGCCCACAGAAGTGGGCTCAAGCCCAATCCCGCCCCATGCTCTTCCCGCTCTCTATCAATCCACCCTCCTTCAAAATAACCTTGTCCTCAAGGTTGAAATCTCACAGACGGGGAACTGAAATTTCAAGACATAGAATAGACTGGAAAATATCCTTCCTCTCTTTCCTGAACCCTTTCCTGGCCGGTTATTTCACAGTACTCATGCTGTTGGAGGTCCAACTCTTCATCCTCCTCGGCTATCATTACCCGCAACTGCTTAAATGGACAGTCTTGCCCCGGTGTAAATGGTTTCTTACACTTAAAGCAAAATCCTTTCGCCCACAATTCTGCAAACTCTTTCGGCGGAAGTCGAGTGAACTGAGATGAGAGCGTGTCGTGACTCGTGCGCTGCCCGGACAGCCCTGACTTTGTCCCCGGATGCTGCCCAATGTCTTTAAGAAAGCTGCCATTCGATCCTCTTAAGCTGCCACCACCTATGGTCGTGCTGTTACTGCCACTTGCATCTTGAAAGGACAAGTTGTCCTCAATGTCTCTAGCCAATTGCATTGCAATCTCCAAGCTGTTTGGCCGCAACAATCGTAAGGATCCCCAAATCGGTCCCTTCAGCCCGTTCATGAAATACACCAAATAATGATCCTCGGACAGCCCAGGAACCTGACTTGCCAACTACACAAAAAGGTTATTGTATTCTTCTATGGTCCTCAAATGTTTGGTCCCGGACAGCCGTTCAAATCGGTTGCCCTTGAACCGTGAATCAAAACGGGCCACCAGTGCATTTGTGAATTCCTCCCAAGTCAGGCCCGGTTTCCGTACCTTCAACCAGGTCAACCAGTACAGGGCAGCCCCTTCCATGGCTACCGTAGCTGTTGCCACTTTCCTCTCATGTAGGGTTTGATTAATTTCAAACTGTTGTTCAGCCCTAGCTATCCACCCGATCGGATCTGCGCCGTCGAACGAGGGAAGCAGGGTTGTTGCCGTGCTGCGCAAGCCTTCATCGATCGCATGCACAGAAACGACGTGCGCAGGAGAGCCGCTGCCGGTGGCTGATGTCGGCGTCTTTTCTGGCGGCACCATGGCCTTCGCAATCGCTGCCAGGGAGGCTGCGATTTCCACAAGCTGGGCTCCATGTTGTTCCAGCATCAGTCCCTGCGCATCTTGCTTTAGTCCCTGCGCATCAAGCTTCTCTTTAATTAGGGGTTTTTCGGCCTCCAGTTCGCTCAAATGATCGTTCTGTGTTCTCGTCATCTTGGCGGGACGGGATCCGGCATGTCGGACCAATTGTTGTGTAACAGAAAAATAAAATCAACGGGGTAAACCGTTGACCAGATAATAAATGATAAAAATACCGTTGCCCAGAGCCAAAAGGCTAAAACCAATTTTATTCCAAGATAATAAGAATGAACCCTGGCTAGGGGTATAAATAGCCTTCTACAAGAAACTCTAATCAAGCCCAAATTAATTAAATCCTAATTAGGCCCATACTAACTCTACTAAGTACTCTACTAATAAAAGGCCCAAACCAAAACATAACATTAACTTAATAATAATAAATAAACTATAAAGACAGCCCTAACCCGGCCCACAGAAGTGGGCCCAAGCCCAGTCCCACCCCATGCTCTTCCCGCTCTCTATCACTTTCCTTTTTATTAAACTTGTCCTTGAATGTAAGAGAAGTATGTCCATTCAATCTCTTTCTGATACATTTTTGTTTGGGGTTGTATGTTGATGAAAATGTTGTTCTTTTCTATACGTTTGATTTTTTCTGTTAATTATGTTAGATAATATAAACATGATTGGTGAAAACGTGAAATTGTGGTTACAACTGGTTCTTAAGTGATGATGTTGATTTAATTAAATACTTTCAGCACTTAGCTACATATAATATGAAAAAACTATGAACATGAATGTGATGTTCTCCAGTATTTGTCTTATAGATTCGTTCTACTTTTGTAGCTACCACTCTTGAGGTGGAAAAGATTTGCATTAGTTGCTGCAATGTGCATTCTTGCAGTGCGAGCAGTCATTGTGCAATTAGCATTCTATTTGCATATACAGGTATATTGCTTGCTCTCTCCTTGAGTTTTACGTTTTATCATTTTATACTTCTCCACTTATATTAACATATGTATACAGTATTACAGTAACACACAACCAAATAGAGGGTATTGCTTTATGGAATTGAGTTTATAAAAAAGTATATTAGGATGGTTTGAGGATTGTTATTAAGAAGTTTTAAAATAGGTATTTCTTGTGAATCATATGTGAGTATGTACCTGTATATATTACTCTTAGACTGGATGGGCTTTTAAGCTAATCTCGAAAGAGTGTGTTTGCAAAATGTTGAAAGAGGAATGTAAATGATTGTATCCATTCCCCATGATGAAGGATATTACCATCAACATGTTGATTCATATCTTATGTAGACACAATTTCTTGACTTAGTCCACCACATAATCATCTCTCAAGCAGCGGGTTGAATTGGTACATGATCTATTTGAATTCATAACTCATCCTAGTATGTTAGTATGTGGTGTGAGCTAGTTTTAGAATCACTATGAGTTACTTTTTGGGATGCAAAACATTAGATATTGTGTTGTTGCTTGGTCAACTGTGGGGGAAATTTAGCAATCAATGGCACTTGGGGCATATACTTGGTTGGAGCACCTCCTTATTTAATTAAAGCTTGCGAGTTATTTAATTGGCTTATACATGTTAACCACAAATTTTACATCAAATCCAACATAGAGAGTGTTCAGGTAAGTGATTGAAGAATGAATATTGCAAATAACCATGTTTTGGAAACATGTTTTTTTTGTTTGATATAATTGTGGTTCTAAAACAATGTCTTGAATTCTTGATTGAGTGTTTAGATAGTTGCTTATTAAAATGTGATTTTGAAGTGTTTACAGTTAAAAAAGACAAGGAAGAACCACCAACATAAATTTATAGCGGACCCCAAACGCTTTTAGTACTAAAGATGTTTTTAATTGGATTGGAAATTTTCTGGTCTGGTAAATATTTGGTCTATGTGTATTTTATAACTGTCTAGTCTGGTCTGGTCTTTTTAAGTCTGGTATGGGACTGAAATAAGTCAAGTGAAAACATCCTAATGCTGGTATATTGTTGTTGTTGGTGTACAGTAAAACAATAAATAGATCTTTCATGCAAAAATGATTTACAAGAAACCAAAAATCAGCTTGTTAGATGGTATTTGGGTTCAGAAAAAGTTGCATTCAATTGTCATGTTGTGCCCCTTCTGATGCACCAAAAACAGATGATATTTCCGTTTAAAAATTCATGTTTTTAGCTTTTGGTGGCACTTTGAGTCTTTTTAAAGACGTCGCCAAAATGCGCCACCATATGCATAAGGCGGGAATCCTTTACTTGTAATAGTGTCATACTGTCATGGGAGCTAAAATCCCCCAAATCGCTAAACCAAATTACCCCTAGTATTTAACAAGAGAAGAAAACACATCAAAGACAACTCTCGCTTTATTTGTGAACAGGTTAAGTGTGGGGGTATTGTTACTTTTTTGTTGGTCCAAACCCCAATGGTCCAATACAGTGGATATACCTACAGGTATTTGATAAGGTCTAGAGCTGGATACATATGTAGAAAGATTGGAGTGTGGCAATATTGCAGCATGTCTAGCTTGCGGGTGTGTGTTAACTGTTGAGAAACGTAGCAATAATGTACCCTTATGGGAAATATGTGCATTTGAACTCTGTGTCTAGCCGGGACAATTTATGACTTTGTGTTTGTGTATATGCGCACACAACTACACAAATTGTCTCTTTAATATCTGTCTATAATATACCTCTGTACAACCCTTACGAGAATCAAGTCCTATTATCTAATTTATTGAGTAGGGGTTAATAGTGTGGAATATTTTCGAAGCCGCTACAGCAGAAATGTTTGAGCTAAATAATTCCTCAGTTATAATAGCTTTGTGAAAAATGGATGACTGTGGGCAGCTCTTGAAATTCTTCATGAGTTGTATTTATCAATTCAATACTTTCAGTCTGTCACTGTTTCTTATACTTGTTACCAACACTAAATGAAATACTTCCATGTTGACCTTTTTTGTCTCATATGTGTAAACTGATTCTTTTTAATGTTTAGACTCATGTGTATGGAAGACCAGCTGTCTTTTCAAAACCTTTAATATTTGCGACAGCATTCATGAGCTTCTTCTCAGTTGTTATTGCACTCTTTAAGGTAAACTTTCTCCTTCCATTTGTGGAATGTAATCACAGAGCAGATTACTTGTGAGTTCTATCATTTTGTATAGTTATTTCTTTAGGATTTGTACATTCCATTATTCCAATGCATTGCTCTTGTTGGGGGGGGGGGGGGGGGAGCACAGCCTTTGCATTTTAAATAGTTAGGTGATCATTTCAAGCATAGCCTTTACAACATATCCTAGCTTTTTTAACCAATACCATGTACATCAAATGAAACTTTGTATTTATTTTAGATTACATAGAGTCAATTATAGGCAATAAAAATAATCTGTGACCATATAATGTAGTACTTTCCAAAATGGAACCAGTATGTTTTTTATGCTTACTAGACTTATTCAACATATGCAAGTGGCGTACAAATCACATCCAGTTTTCACATGATATTGTAGGATATTCCTGATATTGTTGGCGACAAGATTTTTGGAATACGGTCTTTTACTGTTAGATTGGGCCAAGAAAAGGTAAGTAACCTTGTTACTCGGTAATTTGATCATGATCTGAATCCTGGATGATGTTACATGTTTTCTTATTTGCAGGTTTTCTGGATTTGCATTTCACTACTTCAAATGGCTTATCTGGTTGCTATATTGGTTGGAGCCTCCTCCTCATGCACCTGGAGCAAATATTTGACGGTAGTTATCCTCCAACACCATTTTATTGGCGGAGACCACTCTATATATTGTGTTTTGTGGCGATGATAAGTAATGATTTCCCCCTTTAAGTTCGACATTTCAAAGCATCATTTTAGTTGCAATGATATAAATTCACAGTGACATCGATTTTCTTCATTGAATTTATATTTGTTAAACAGTTGAATCATTCATCATCATCATCACCCGTGCCACAAAGGTTCCCACCTACTGTGGGGTAAGGGGGGGTTGGATGAAACAGTTGAATAATTGGATTTCATATTTTGGATCTAATTAAGGTTAACAACATTGTCCTTAAATAGACACATATTTATGTGTCAACTTAAAGCAAATTTTGGAGCATACATAAGAGGCTTTTAGTTGCTTACCTGTTATGTTAAAATACCACCATTACCATCACTTATTATACTGCGTATCTGTTTTTTAAGGTTATTGGTCATGCTGCTTTAGCCTTGATACTTTGGAATCGTGCTAGATCAATGGACTTCAGCAGAAAAGAAGAAATCACATCCTTCTACATGTTCATATGGAAGGTATATGCAACACGCAAACAAATGAATATGATAACGTGTGTCTTTGTCAGAAAAGTGTTCTAAAACGTTTTAAGATTTACAGAAACTGTTCCAAAACATTTCTAGAGCTTTCTAGAGTTCTTGTTCAAGAATAGAAAATCTTGATTGAAGAATTGTGTGGAGATAAAAGATATGCTTTATTTTCTGATAAGGACCCGGCTAGTCTATCTAATAGGAATAGATTCTATGGGCAAGTCTATTCTAGAAAGTCAAAGTTGACTAGCTAGTTATTAGTTAAAAAGCTGTTAGTAACTAATAACTACCTTCGTTTGTGAAGGTTATAAATAGAATAAATCTGCAGAGGGAAGGCAGGCTCTTGTTAGATCATTTGTCTGGGACTGGGAAAGTTGGAGTTCTATCTCCTTCTTTGGGACAATTCTTGTACGGTTTACCTCCATTGAATGAAATCACCATTTTCTTCTTTTCTGCCTGGTTAATTTCTATTACTTGTACTGAGATTGTGAAGATCCTATCATTGGTATCAGAGCGATTCGATCGCTGGATGAGATATACGCGCGCCAAAATGGAAGGGAGGGTCAACGAGGTGGAACGAAGTCAGCGTGACATGCAGGCGAGTATGGATAATCTGGCGACAATGCAAGCAGCGATCCAGGCTAGCATTGCAGACTTACAGGTTCAGATCAATCGTCGATAGAGGAGCAATTCGCAGAGGTCGAACAATTCTCATCGAACAACACAACACAGGCATTCGAGGAATGAAGATTCTTCTGGTGACTCGGATAATCAATCGAATCACACAGATTCGCGAATTGAGTACGAGCAGAGACGGAATCACAGAAACAATCCGAGTATGGGGAGGAAGATTGATCTGCCGGTTTTCAGTGGGAAGGATGTCTGCGGGTGGATGTTGAGGATGAACCGGTATTTCCGGTTGAATAGAACTGCGGAAGAAGAGAAGTTGGATGTTGCAGTGATCGCATTGGAAGATCAAGCTCTTAGCTGGTTCCAATGGTGGGATAGACAAGCAATACACCTAAATTGGAACGCATTTACTAAGGTGTTGATCAGGAGATTTCAGCCGGAAGTAGTATAGGATCTTTTGGGACCTCTATTTAGTCTGAAGCAGAAAGGTTCTATCGCTGAGTATAGAAACCAATTTGAAACAGCCATTTCATCTCAGGAACACTTATCTGAAGAAGTGCTGAAAGGAGTCTTCCTCAAGGGACTGAAGAGGGATATAAGGTCAGAGTTGAAGCTGTATACTACCAGGACTTTAGCTGAAATTATGGATACAGTTTCCTTGATTGAGAACAAAAACATTGAAGCTGTTTTTATGAAAAATAAGGAGGAAAGTAAGAAGAAGAGTCAGAACAAGGTTATCAGTCAGTCATCAGGGCAGAATTGGAATGAAAGCAGCAGGTGGAGAAGTCATCCAGGAACCACCAACCACCTTGGAAATTCTTCTAAGGTGACAGTTGATAATAAAAACAACAATGAGGTGAAGGAACAGATGATGAGGAGGCAGGGGCCTAGACTGTCTCAAGAAGAATTACTGGAGAGAAGTAAAAAGGGTCTATGTTTTAAATGTGGGGAAACTTGGGGAAGAGGACATGTTTGCAAAATGAAGAATTACAAGATGATTCTAGTGGAGAATTCTGAAGGAGAGGAAATCTCTGATGTGGAATATGAAGAATCAGAAGGGAGCCAGTACAATAATTCAAATCAGATGGACATGAATAAAATGCAGCTATCCATTTTAAGCAAGGAGGGCATTTCCTCCATGACAACTTTCAAGGTGAGAGGGAAATTGAAGTGGCATGGTAAAGAGAAGGAGGTAACTATCCTTATTGACAGTGGGGCCACCCATAACTTTATGTCCAAAGTTTTGGCAGAAAGGTGGGATATCCCTTATAATCCAATCAAGGGGTATAAGGTACAAATATGGAATGGGGATCACATTCCTAATCTAGGCCAATGCACTGAAGTTGGTGTCAATATACAAGGAGTTGATATTCATCAAACATTTTATGTACTGGAATTGGGAGGAATTGATTTAGTTTTGGGAATGGAATGGTTGACTGAGCTGGGGAATATGGAGGTCAATTTTAAACAGCAAATAATCAAATGGAAGAATCAGGGAGTCACTTGCATGATAAAAGGCAACAATGTAGCAAATCAGATGGAGGTTTCAATGAAAACTATGGCTCACATACTACACCAGGTGGGGGATGGTTATCTGTTATTCTATGAGGGACAACAGGGGGTTCAGGAACAGAAAACAGATGGAGGAGAATGGGAAGGGTTGATTGCAGACTTTCCAGAAGTATTTACAGCAACTCTGAAATTTCCACCTGCCAGAGACTGTGATCATGCCATTAATATTAAAGGAGCAGATATACCCAATATCAGACCATACAGGTACTCTTTTGATCAGAAGAATGAAATTGAGAAAATCATAGCTGAAATGTTGAAGTCTGGAATTATTAAAAACAGCAATAGCCCTTATAGTAGCCCCATTCTTTTAGCTAGGAAGAAAGATGGGGGCTTTAAATAAGGTGACCATACCTGATAAGTTTCCTATTCCAGTGATTGAGGAACTTCTTGATGAGTTAGGTGGTGCCAGAATTTTTTCAAAGTTAGATCTTAAAGCAGGATATCACCAGATCAGGATGAAGGCCAGTGATACTCATAAGACGGCATTTAGGACTCATGAAGGGCATTATGAGTACCTAGTTATGCCTTTTGGGCTGACCAATGCACCATCAACTTTTCAATCTCTTATGAATGAGGTGTTGAGACCTTTTCTGAGGAAATTTGCTCTAGTGTTCTTTGATGATATCTTAGTTTACAGTAAAACTAGAGATGATCATAAAGAGCACTTAAGAGAAGTATTGGGAGCTTTACAAGATAATCAATTGGTAGCAAATATCAAGAAGTGTTCATTTGTACAGGATCAACTGAGTTATCTGGGTCATATAATTTCTGCAAAAGGGGTGGCAGCTGATCCTGAGAAAATTCTAGCTATGAAGAACTGGCCTATACCCAGAGACTTGAAGGAACTGAGGGGATTCCTGGGGTTAACTGGGTACTACAGGAGGTTTGTAAAAGGGTATACTAAGATTGCTGCACCTCTTACTCTTTTACTTAAAAAGGATGGGTTTAAATGGGGAGAATTGGCTACTAAAGCTTTCAATGATCTGAAGGAGGCCATGACTTCATTACCTGTTTTGAGGGTACCTGATTTTACAAAATTGTTTGTGATAGAGACAGATGCTTCTGGGAGAGGTCTGGGTGCTGTGCTTATGCAGGAGGGGGGTCGTATTGCCTACATGAGTAAAGAATTATCACCAAGACATTTGACTAAATCTATCTATGAGAAGGAACTCATGGCAATTGTGTTTGCCATTCAGAAGTGGAGACCTTACCTTCTTGGAAGAAACTTTAAGGTTTATACTTATGGGGGAAGACCAACAAAAGTGGATAGCTAAACTTATGGGGTACAATTTTATTATTAAATATAAACCAGGGATTGAGAACAAAGCTGCAGATGCCCTATCCAGAAAAGCTACCTATGTAGCCCTTTCCACAGTGACTTGCCAGGAATGGGATGGTTTGGAAGAAGAACTTGAGAAGGATTCTAAATGGGGGGAAATGATTCAAAAGATAGTGATACAGCCTGATTTGTGTATGGATTACAAAATGAAGGGATGGCTTCTATACTATAAAGGGAGGCTGGTATTACCAAAAGGATCCCACATAATTCAGACTATTATGAAAGAATACCATGATTCTGCAGTAGGGGCCATTCAGGATATTTCAGAACCATGAAGAGGATCTCAAATCTGTTTTTTTGGGAAGGTATGGGATCAGACATCAAGAACTACATTCAAGGGTGTGAAACATGTCAAAGAAACAAGTACCAGGCACTGAAACCTGCGGGATTGCTTCAAACTTTACCCATTCCAGATCATGTGTGGTCTGATATTAGTATGGATTTTATTGGAGGTCTTCCAAAATCCCAGGGCAAAGACACTATCTTAGTAGTGGTGGACAGACTGTCCAAGTTTTCACATTTTATACCTTTGGCTCATCCTTTTAATGCCAAGGGAGTAGCTGAAGTTTTTGTGCAGGAAATTGTAAGGATACATGGATTTCCCAAATCCATTGTAAGTGACAGAGATAGCATTTTTCTGAGTTCATTTTGGTCTGAGCTATTCAAATTGGCAGGGACAAAACTTAAATACAGCACAACTTATCACCCTCAAAGTGATGGGCAAACTGAAGTGGTGAACAGGTGTCTAGAGACTTATTTAAGGTGTTTGAGTGGCAGACAACCTAGACAGTGGGTGAAGTGGCTTCCTTGGGCTGAATACTGGTTCAACACTAATTATAACTGTTCTTTGAAGGGTACTCCCTACCAGGCCTTATTTGGACAACATCCCCCTTCTATCATTCGAGGAGATGTTACTTTGTCTGCAATAGATGAAGTGGCCAAATTGACAGCTGAAAGAAATATCATGTTGAAGGAATTGAAAGACAATTTGGTCAGAGCTCAGAATTTGATGAAGCAACAGGCTGACAAACATAGGAGGGAAGAATTACTGGAAGTAGGAGATAAAGTTTTTCTCAGAATACAGCCCTATAAGATGAAAAGTTTAGCTAAGAAGATCAATCAAAAGCTAAGCCCAAGATTCTATGGTCCCTATGACATTGCAGAGAAGCTCAGTTCTGTAGCTTTCAAACTCAAGTTACCAGAAGGGAGTAGAATCCACCCTGTATTTCATATATCCTTGTTGAAGAAGGCATTGAACCCTACAGTGACTTACCAAAACCTCCCAGATTGCCTCACAGAAGATTGTGAGCTGCAAGTGAGACCTGAAGGTGTGAGAGATATCAGGCTAAATCAGGAAGGGAAGAAGGTGGTCCTTATACATTGGAAGGAACTTCCTGAATTTGAAGACTCATGGGAGGATATTCAAGTAATACAAGAGCAATTTCCT